TTAAAGCTGCAGTAGGTAATTTTTATAAAAATAACTTTTTGTCATATTTGCTGAAACTTCCACTATGTCCTGGCAGTAGTATATGAGACAGATACCAAGAAAGACAATCAAGATAGTTGATTGTTGAGTCTCATCCCCAGGGCATCCTATACAGATGCTTTGGGACCCTGTGAATGAGACTCAACAATCAACTATCTTCCAACCCAAAGCATCTTTAGATCTTTCTCAGCTTGGATTGGTTGTTTTTGTTCAGGTCCAGTGGATTTTTGCAAATGCCATTAGGAGCACTACAGCGAGTAAGAAGAACCTGATTTTTTCACAGATTATCTGTCTCGTGTACTGTCAGGATATAGTGAAAGGTTCAGCAAATATGAAAACAAAAAACATGTAACTGTGCTCGATTATATTATCCGTAGATCCCTATTGTGTGAGTTCCACGCCCATCCGATGTTTGTTGTTGTACTTTTATATGCAAGTTATACTTAAAAGTTATTCTTTGAATTTACCTAACCAACCCTATTAAATGTACTTATTAAAAGTCAGACGCAAACCTAGTAAATAAGTTGAATCCATTTAATTACTAAAATAAGTTGACTCAACTCAAGTAAATTAATTTGGACAAACACAATTGCTTAATGCTGTAAGAAAACATCGAAATTATGTGGAAATACTTTCCATGGTTTAATTAAGTTTATTCAAAGAGAGAAGCCTTGTCTCTCTTCGATGTGCATTTAAGGAATTGGAAGATTCTCGACAATGGCAGAGGGGAAACGAGGGGAAAGAGGACAGTAGGAAGGAAAAGTTGGCATAATAAAAAGCACCCTATATGGTTCATGGCAGGCATTTAGGTTGCAGAGACACCTAGCTTGTTGTATTAACTGAATCTCCACCACTGCCTGTAACCACAATGGCATGTGAAGGAATGTTTGATGTGACCAGACCCTCAACCAAACTGAAACCATTACAGCAATGTAAAAAAAGTGATATAATACACAGCGGATAATAATGTCAGGCAATTTCGGACATCATCACATTACTCCAAGACTTTCTGTAAGATTTCAAAATTGGTCAAAACTACAGTGTAAATTAAAAATGGTCTCATCTCTGTACAAAATTGGTTGACAAAAAGCTATTACTGAAGGCTATATTCAACTTATATTGTCTAATTTGGAAAATCTGTGGTAATTTTGTTCAGGGACCTTTGAATTGAATTTGAATGTTTGGCAACCAACTATTGGTTTACTACTAATGGACTAGATCTGTTAGCCTCTGGTGTCCAAAATTGTCTGATGGTTGTCTACACAAAGACAAATGCAGCTTTGATATTTGTCTGTATTTAAACAGCCATAAGATCATATTTGTGTTACTACCAGTTTAAATGAGATTTCTACAAACTTAAATCTTGGGAAGGCTTGTCTTAACGCCCATTCTCATTTCCAAGTCTTCAAATACGACAGCCTGGTCAGTGGCCCTACAATATGATGCTGTAGGTAATGTTTGGTGTAATGTTTTAATGTGCCGTTAAAGTCAGGTGACGTAATACAAAAGTAGGGATGTCACAAGAACTAATATTTCAGTACCAAGTTGATGACAAAGTTCAAAGAAATGTAACGGTACTTGTCTTTATCTACAGTACAGTAGACTTAATAGTGAGAACCTGTTTATTTACCTAATGAAGAAAAAAACTGCACTTTTAATTGCACAACTAGAGTATCTACTTCAGATATGCCATCAGATTAATCCTACACTGCATATTCAACTCAGTCTCATCCTGTTTTATTAATTCTAAGGTCTTGTTACATAGTAAATCTCTCAGCACCTCTATAAAATCTCCACCAAGTATTGCTTAAGTGTAAATGTACCCTGTAAATGACAATTCACCTTGAAATCCAAGGAGAGATGACTTAAAACCAAAGAGGGAGAAAATGTGCGACCTCTGCACATATGGCAATCATACAAACACCCAAATCAGTTCATTTCCCACTATTATTAGGCATTGTTTCCCTTAGTGTCTCTGACAGTATCAGCACTTTATAATTCACTTGATGGCTTTCAATGTTACACAAGCAGGATTCTAATAAAATTCTGTGTATTTACAACTCAAAGCAGCTACAAGGAGCTTTCGTTCTGTGTTGATTCTGGCGGCCCCTGTGGACAAAATCAGTAGTGTTTCTACTGCCTCTTTCATTGTTAAAATTTGAATCCCACCCTGTGGCAGGCATTAAGAATGACTATATAGAAAAAGCCAATCTTCTCTCTGATGGTCCTCTTTGTTCATGTAGATCATATAGAAGCATCAGTATTAA